GTATCCCCCCGGTTCTCCCCGGTATCCCCCCGATGCCCCCGGTATCCACCCGGCGCTCACGACCCGCTCCCCCCGGTTCTCCCCGGCTCTCCCCGGTATCCCCCCGGTTCTCCCCGGTTCTCCCCGGCTCTCCCCGGTATCCCCCCGGTTCTCCCCGGTTCTCCCCGGTTCTCCCCGGTTCTCCCCGGTTCTCCCCGGTATCCCCGGTACCCCCGGCATCCCCCCGCCGCTCACGGCCGCTGCCCCGGCAGAAGGCGGAGTCGGAGGAGCTGGAGACGCCGCGGCCGCCGGTGAAGCTGCGGCGGGCGGTGTCCGAGGTGGCCCGGCCCGCCTCCACCCCGCCCGCCATCGCCTCGGCCGCCAAGGACGACGACGACGAGGAGCGGATCCTCGCCGAGCTGGAGGTGAGCGCGGGCACCGGCACGCAGGGGACACCGGCACGCAGGGGACACCGGCACGCAGGGGACACCGGCCCACGGGTGGCACCGGCACGCAGGGGACACCGACACGCAGGGGACACCGACACGCAGGGGACACCGGCATGCAGGGGACACCGGCACGCAGGGGACACCGGCCCACGGGTGGCACTGACACGCAGGGGACACCGGCACGCAGGGGACACCGGCACGCAGGTGACACCGACACGCAGGTGGCACTGACACGCAGGGGACACCGGCACGCAGGGGACACCGGCACGCAGGGGACACCGGCACGCAGGGGACACCGGCATGCAGGGGACACCGGCATGCAGGGGACACCAGCACGCAGGGGACACCGGCACGCAGGTGGCACTGACACGCAGGGGACACCGGCACGCAGGGGACACCGGCACACAGGGGACACCGGCACGCAGGGGACACCGGCACGCAGGTGGCACTGACACGCAGGGGACACCGGCATGCAGGGGACACCGGCACGCAGGGGACACCGGCATGCAGGGGTCACCGGCCCACGGGTGGCACCGGCATGCAGGGGACACCGGCACGCAGGGGACACCGGCCCACGGGTGGCACCGGCCCACGGGTGGCACCGGCATGC